ATTCGCCACAAAGAGCCGGCAAGAAAAAGACTCAAGGCTGACAGAAAATTCCTGTGCAGCCTGCTCTCAAAACAATAAGGGTTATTCTGGATTCGGCCTCCCCCCTTTATCAAATCTCCCCTGGATGTTATGGTGAAATGGCACAGAAGAACTGCTGCCCCCCCACCCCTACCCACGAACATCTGTGGATGCTCCCAGAACTGTTGATAAATTTCCATCTCATCAAGGACAATGGCCTGTGGACAGCGTTCACGGACAAATTGACCGCACTCATCATACACACACAACTAATGTCTCAAATGTCAGATTAACTCCGATGCGACCCTCTGCTGAAATGTCTGTCTTGTGTTACATGTGCTTTTCTTGTGCTGAGGTGTTGTTGATATCTGAAACTGTATCCTGTCAAGGATAAAGTGTGAAATATGCAGACCCCCCCTCTTTCCCCAATGTGGCTCCTATCTTTCCACAGAAATTAAGGCAGAGCTATAGGGAACCACGTATGGGCTGGGGCCCTCGGCAGCCGTAGAAACACGCCAAAGGCGGCGTACTGCGGCACGTATGGCCTCAATAAACTATTCTCCCTCTCAGTACCCCAAATCCCCCTCCACCCACCCACCCACCCCAATGTATGCGATGTATTGTGATGAACGGTTGTACTGAAACTGACATTTCCATTACAATGTAAATTTTAGTTGACAATAAAGTAGATTATTTTAACTTATTAGAAAAGAAATAGGCAGATCACATTGCCTAATCATCATGAAGTTAATGAAGTCTATAAATCATGTAACGACACTGAGAGATTCCACAGTACAAGCAGCACAGCTCTACACCATGTTGTTTTTAAAGTCAATACCATGATATTCTACAACATCCTTTGGGTCTACTATATGAGTCGAGTTGCATCTTAAATTAGTTTGTTCATTTATTCACTTTTTAGATTTAGTGTTTTTTGTTTGTTTAATATCTCTATATTGCATCTGGAATTAATAAAAGTTTCATTTATTTCAGTAATCCAATTTACAAAATCCAAACATGATTAATTATGGATGGATATTTCAAAGCTCCTTTTTCTGTAAATCCTGATGATCTTTCCACTTAAAGTAAATTAAAACATCTTATTTAAAATTAGAATATCAGACCAATCAAAAGAATATAGAGCACAGAAGGTGTTCTCAATGAAAAGCATGTTTAATGGTTATTTTGAAAAGAAACAACCAGAACACATCTTCTAATTTACTGTGAAGTACCGTATTCGTCTCCTAAAAGCAGATTTGATTTTGCTTTGAGAGCCTTTGATTCAATGAACTCTCTGTAATGAAGTGATAAGCACGGTAGGTGTACTTTACTAGGACTTTATTACTTTCCAATACCATAATAATCACAAGGTCAGACTACACTCTAAAACCAATTATGTTTGAATAATTGTAAAATGGGGGAAAGAGTTATAAAAACAGGCAATTTCAACATCAAACAGATGAATAAAAATATATAAAATTTAAATGTTTTAGGCAGAAGAATACAAATGCTTTTAAAAAATTGTTTGGATATGGACAGTTAAGAGAGATCATTAAAGAACGGGGATTCCTCCGCAGGTTCTCGATTGTAGACGTTGTTTGAAATAAAGTATTTTTGTTGATAAAACTGCATGATTACTTCAACCTGAATCTGCCAATATCAGAAAGTGGTGCATTGATAGGAAGAACAATTAAGTCCCACGCTAGGGCTGACAAACACTAGCTTGTATTTAATAAAGATTGTTTTATTAAATCTGTTCTTAATAAAAAGTAAATCAGATTAAATTAACTTCCTTAATTTTGCAGAATCAGAATTTAATCACTTAAAAAGCAGTTTTGTTTCTCATTTCGCTCACATTCTATTAAAAATCGGTTTAACAACCTAACGAGGAGCATTGAAAAGGATCTCAGAACGTTTTCAAATTCCAATAAATCTAAACATATGGAAGATAATTAGGGCCACAGGAAAAAAAAAATAATTTAACTGATTTTTGAATTTTATTTCAGTTTAATATGAGAAAAAAGTCAGAATTCTGACTTTAATATCAGAATTTTGGATCTTAATCTTAAATTACGTCTCTGAGCGGTCCCATGCATGGGCGGTTCTAGACAGGGGCCAATGGGGGGCCAGTGCCCCTGCACTGAAGACATAATACTCAAAGAAGTTCTTATGATGCACTGGAATAGACATGGTTACTGACAGGTACTTTGGATCTATTTCATTTTTTTCTTTACAAATTATGTTTTACTAATTATTTAAAGGAGAAGTTCGGTTTTTTACACTTTAAGCCCATTTTCT